TGGATGAGCGGAGGGGACGGTTAGGGTGATACTTTGAGACAAGGTTTGAGATATATCCGGGGGCGGAGTTGTGGATGGCTTTATAGGTGACTGTTAATATTTTGAATTTTATCCTCTGGGCGAGTGGAAGCCAGTGTAGGGATTGGCAGAGGGGGGATGCAGACACTGAGCGGTTGGTAAGGTGAATGAGTCTGGCAGCTGCATTCATGATAGACTGAAGGGGGGATATCCTGTGTAGTGGAAGGCCAATGAGGAGGGAGTTGCAATAGTCAAGACGAGAGATAACAAGGGAGTGTATGAGTAGTTTTGCGGTGTCATTGGTGAGGAAGGGGCGTATTTTTGAGATGTTACGAAGGTGAAGGCGGCAGGATTTGGATAGCGATTGGATGTGGGGAAGAAAGGTGAGGTCCGAGTCAAGGATGACACCTAGGACCTTGGCATGAGGGGAGGTTTGGATAGTTGTGTTATCAATCATGAGGCATTGCAAGACTGACACCCACAGGCATGACTCCCAGAGGCAGATGCATGATAGGATTTGTAGTTTCACCACAGCTGGGGTGCTGAGGTTGCCTACCTGTGGGTTTTCAAGCTTTTAAAGCTGGCTGTGTCCCCTCTGTTTGCACTGGTGACCATTGTCACAGAGAAATAAAGTTAGGGGAAATCCAAAGTTCCCCAGCACAAGTGTTAAACTAATGAGGACACCTGTTCTGGGAACAACTGTACAAGAGGGGAATTCCTCTCACTTTGGGTGATTTCCTCACTGCTGTGTCTCTGAGTCCCTTTGGAGGCATGGAGCTTTAGTTGTGTGGCTGGAGAAAGCAATCAATGGACTACAAGTGTGGTGACGTCACCACAGATCTATGAGTCCCTCTGCTGTGGTGGGATTTGTAGTCCATTCACAGATCCTAAAAGGAGATGCTGCAGAGAGGAGCACCCCATAATTCAGTAAAAGTGTGTGTATTTTTTTGGGGGGGGCCTTATGAGGGTGGAAAGTTGGGGAATCTGACCATGTTTCAGGTTAAACCCTATGGATTTAGGTGTACATTTAATAAATGGTAAAAAGTTGCTAGTGAGGTGTTTACTAATCGGTCATAAGTCCGGTAGGAGCTAAAAAAACAGGGAATATCTTGTTTTTTCTCTTCACTATGAATTATTTGTGATAAGTACGGAGAAAGTAATAGAAATGTACCTGTTTAACAGTGAAAGACACACAATAATAAATATGAAGAAAAGCCCCCCTTGATTTATCACCAGGGCATTTTTTGTTGAAACACTGATGAAAAAGCAAGGAAGAGACCACTTTCTGCATTTTCAGGCATAACTGCAGGATTGCTTATGCTGTAAAGCATCAAATAGGGAGTTTTGCAACACATAGCTCCTCGCTTCCTCCTCCCTGCCTCCTCCCTTGACCCTCAGGGGGAATTCATGATCACCTATAGGCAGGCTCGGATTCCCCACAATTCCCTGCCGCAGGGAGCAGAGCGGCTCCGTGTACACTGAGAGGGGAGAGCCGGCTTCCCCTCTCAGCTGTGACAGGAGTTCCAGCACGGTACTCTGCTAGAACTCCTGTATTGGAGGTGACAGGGTCAATAAAGAGAACCTGTTACCTCCAATTGCTATCACACAAGGGTTTGTTAGCTCCTGTGTGATAGCAATAAAGTTAAGTGCAAAACAAATTGATAAAACAAATTATGAAAGAAATAAAAATAAAAAAAATGAAATAATTAAATAACAAAATAAAAAGGTGATTCAAAAGTAAAAAATAATAAGAACCAAATTATTAAAAAATAATTATAAAAA